ACATAATAACCAATGCGGAGTCCAATAAACAAGTTTAATAAACATTTTTAATTAACTGAGCAGAGCAGAGTCCCATCATTTACTTATCGTTAAGTACCTGCAATTTCTGAATTCTGCAGTTTGACACACCCTGTGGGGACTAGTGCTCAGCACAAGTGGAGGAAGTGATAAGGAAAATGGACTAAGGTAAATAATTTCCAATTTGAAAGAAAAGCCATTTAAATGGAAGAAATTAGAAGTTTTATTAAGCTTCCTGTTTATGAAAAATGTAACTAATAGTTGTTTAGAGCACAAGCTCAAGCACCGAAACTCGTGGTACCAGTTTGTATCTGCATTTTCTGCAGCAGCTCATTTCTTATCAATATCTCTAATAATCACTTTAACAGACAGTTATTTTATTCTTTAAATAAACAACTATGTCTTGTTCAAGCTTATAGAATCTGCTGTTTTTACCTAACACAAAAAAGGGCTGTGAATATTTTATTTGTGATTTGACACTATGTTACACTAATATACTAATTGATATATTGCTTGATAAATTGATATAGATGCTATATTGATTTGAAAAAGATTTTTTTTTTATGCGCAGTTTCAAATTATTTGTAGCTTACAGGCTACAAATAATATGGATATCTGCATATGATGCATGCAAATATCCAGACTCTGCTGTGGCTAAAGCTCGTTAATTACCTTACATGGATGATGACCTCCAGTTTGCAATGTGGAGGTTTGCATTTGAGTGAAATGCAAATTAGCACCTCCAAATCTATGGTCATGATTTTCAGGCAGTAAAAGGTGGTAAAGGCATCCTGGGCTGGGACCAAGTTTCTGCCCCAAGTGGACGAGTTCAAGTATCTTGTTCATGAGTGAGGGACTGAGGGAGGGGGAGACTGACAGATGGATTGGTGCAGCGATGCAGATGTTGTACCGGCCTGAATGTTGAGAAGAGAATTCGGCATTAAACCAAAGCTGTTGATTTACCGGTGCATCCATGTGCCATCATCTACAGCCACACGCTGTGGGTAGTGACCGAAAAAAATGATATCATGGATACAAGCGGAGGAAAAAAGGATCTTGGTCCGAAGACTGTCTGGGCTTTTCTTTAGACACAGAGTGTTGAGCTCTATGCCAGAGGAGGGGCTCAGACGAGGGGATACTTCTGCATGCTGAAAGGATCCAGTTAAGATGGTTCGGGCATCTGACCAGAATGCTTTCCGGATGCCTCTATGTAAGGTGCTTCAGACATGTCCTGCTGAGGGGAGGCCCCGGGGCGGACACAGGACACACCGCAGAGATTGTGTCACTCGGATGGCATAATAATATCTCGGCGTCCCACAAGAATAGGTGGAGTAGGTTGGCTTGGAGAGGTGGAGGTTTGGCATCTCTGCTTAGATTGCTGTCCCCGTGACTGGGACTGCGATGAGCAGCAGAAAATGCAAATTGCACCCATCACTTTACACAAATAGGGGACACAACCAAAAAAGTCTCTCATATTAACAATGGATTTATGGTAGATACCTGAAATTACCTAATTACTGTGAAGATGCTAATGATAATTCTCCCCCAGTGCAGAAATATTCTACATATATGAGAGGAGATGGCTCCAACAACAGAAACCCAAATAAAACAGTGCTTCAAATGACAGAAAACACACAGAAACACAAAGAGAACTGAAAGAAATGGTTGCTACACAAAGGGCAAAAAATCAATTCATTTCAGCAGTTTATACAAGCCTGCCATTTGGGATCTATAGGTTATAACTGTCAAATGTGAAACAATATCAAACAACAGGCCTCGTAGGTTTATTTTGTACTACAGTTTCGAAATGACTGAAAAGCCTGATTGAAAAAGCCTGTGGAAAAAAAACCGTTGTGAAATTACATTGCACAAGAAAATCAATACAAAAAAAGGACGGGTATAATAATCAAAAGCATTTACAAGTTCGACCAGTGTTCTCTCAGTCGCACCTTCTGAGCCACAGCCTCGTAGCTGCGGTGACCTTTTAAGCCGTTTATGCCTGTGCATAGATATTGGCATTAACATCGTCCCGCTTAAATGAAAAGTGCTTGCTAAGCCAACAACTGCGCTCAGTGAACTGTGCGCCTTGGAGGTGAATTATATCATGCTGGATTACCCTTACCTTAATTTATCTTTGCCAGCTTTGTATCTGGAGACTCTGGCCATCAACAAGGGCAGGGAGACTGCATCCAGCCAGCGCTTCTCATACTTTGGTTCATTAGCTGAGGGCGAAGGGGGTGATGGAGCCTGCGTGGAATACATGAACGATGCGTGAGCTTTCTGCTTCTGTTGACCAAATTCTTTTGATTACTGATGGATGATACACAAGCACCATTTACATGCAAAAGAATTCCCTCAACCAGGGCTAATCAACTATTTTTGTCTGAAGTTCTCACTCTCTGCTTACGCCAAGCATGTCTGAACTTCGATATACTGAAGTTATAGACTCCAGCTGTTTTCTTAAACTGTTGCTACTTGTATTTTTTTTCTTTCCAAATCAAACCCAATTATTCAATGTAAGTGATGCAAGTATATCTGGTGCCCCAGATATTAACAGAAATGTCCTCTGTAATCAGGGAAATCACCTCCTGCTGCAGTTAACATGATGAAAATAATCAATAACCTGTGTATTGACTCTACATGTAAACTACATGCAAAGTGAGTAAGTTTAGAATAACTGTACTGAAACTAAAAAATCACTCAGCAGAACCTAAAAATGTCCATATTTTGCTAATGGAGTAAATATTGCACTCTGACTTCTGTAATGAAACCACGCATCATAAATCCTTCCCTTCAGTCTTGAAACTGAATAAATCAGTTAGAAAAACCTTTAATTTATTTCAAAATATTCACTTTTAAATTGTTTTGTTATGAGTAGAGCAATTATGTTTGTGGTCAATGATTTTGTGCAACACTAAGCAGGTGTTAGCATCAATTTAAAGAGAACCGGAGCCTCCACAGTGTTTGTATAAGCCCAACAGATAAGTGGAAGACAGCAAACTATTTTAAACCTGCTGCTTAAACACTTGGACGGAGCGGGGTGTCATGCCAAACTCTTCTTTATCAAATCTTCTTTGGCATTTAGCACGATTAAACCACATGATGTAATCAGTCTTGGTTAAGTTCTTGCTGACTGGATTCTGGACTTTCTAACAGGCCACACAGGTGAGAGTATAAATACTCATGTTTGGTCTCTTCGGTGCCTGGAGAGGAAATGACAAGTTTAAAAAAAAAAAGTTTCTCTTCAGTTACAAGGAAAGCAACAAACTTTGTGCACTCAGACGTTGATTGAGAGAGACCACAACGTTACAGGAAACTAACAAAGAGTGCCTTGTAGTTGGGTTTTAAAAAATGGTTTGTAACTAAACCAAAAACTGTTCCTTGAAAAGAATCTTTGTCCGGTTGTATTGATCTGCAGCAGAGCATGACTCCAGACAACAAAGGAACATGGCACAGTCTGATAAAACTAAACAAACCAGGTATAAAATCTGAAGAGTTAAAGCTTAGTTTCAATTAGGAACAGAGCAAACAGAGCAAACACACACTCTACCAATCAGGCTACAGACAACGTTTAGATAAATCAGGTAACAGCCAGTCTTTGGTGTCTAAAAAGGAGCTGGAGTAGATTAAGTATGTTTCTATTATCATCTTATTAGCAGTCACCTGGGAAACGGTTAGTCTTCCCAGTGTGCCCAGATAAATTCTGATTAGAGCTGTGTTAATGGAAATGTGCAGCATCGTTTGCAAGAGAGAGGAGTTACAAAAACGTCACCTCGCTCACACATACTCAAAAAGACAAGTGGATCTGTAGAAAATGGTCACATATCAAAGAAAAATGTCCTGTTGACATTGATTAATGACAGAATGAAATTAGTTCTTATAAAAATGTTGAGGTGTTAGGGGGTAATTTCAGGGGAAATACACTTGCCATTTAAATTGATAGGTTTCAGTCATGTTGACAGTGTCTCTCTCAGCTCTCTTTAATGGATTTTTTTTAATAAGTGGTGAGTGCTGGATACAAGCCTCTGGCAAATACAGAAGTGCATTTAGATATTTATAGGCAAAATTAGGCAAATAAAACTAAAATTGCTGTTTAAAAAAATGCCTGGTGTATGACAATAATACAATGTGTTAATATGAAATGGAAATGTGTGTTATGGATACGTGTTGATGGTGGCATTTAACGTGGCATTAAGCGAGTCTTCAAATTACTTTATAATGGACTCCAGAGCAATTCAGCATTACCATAATGGTCAGTGCAGCTCGCTCTGTATTAGAGTCTGTTCAGTAGAGGAACGAGCATGAAATGTGTACTCAAAATAGTTGTGCTTAAGTTTTCTATATGACAAAAGCCAGGATGTATCCATGCGTATATAGTTTACTCAAAATTCTGACCCCACCATCTGTATTTTGTAACAGAAATCAAGGCTCATCAGACCAAACGACATTTTTCCAGTCTGCTGTTGAATTATGTCGAGTCTATGTGGATTTTAGGCTCCGTTTCTTGTTCTTAGCTAACAGCAGTGGCGCCTGGTGTTATCTTCTGTAGCCCACGAGCTTCAAGGTTAAAGGTTCTGGTCCTTTAGAGAAGCTCTTCTGCATACCCGCGTTGTAACAAGTGATGTCCTTTCAGCTTGAAGCGGTCTTGCCCATCTCGTCAGACCTCTGATAAGGCATTTTCTCTCAGAACGGCTGGAGCCTATCCAAGCCAAGAGGCTGATATCAAGTCTATGTATTAAGTATAGCCGAGTGGCAGGGTACACCCTAGGCCAGTCTGTCACAGGCCTAACACAGGGCACGCACATTCATACTTGGCGGCAATTTAAGATCACCAACTTTCATATTTGAAAATCTTAATAAAGCCTGGGGAGTTTTAAGGAAATTTATTTCCCATTAACAGTTAAAAATCAATACAGATGAAAAAGCCAAACAACCCTTAACTGGAGGAAGAAACTAACAATGTTTGTGGGAGTTCGTCCATACAAAAGCTTGTAAGGAATCTAGCAACTGAACACCAATTCCTGTCATGAATATAGAACCATTGTCTGAATTGGATATATAGTGACTACGTCAAATAAAACACATGATCTTTATTTTTAAATGCGGGCGGTGTTACAAACTCAGTGCCGAAATTCTGACAAGCAACTCTCCAATAAGATGGGAGGAGTCAGGAGGAACAGAAGAGAAGACTGTTTGTGTGCTGTTGGCATGGAGATCTGCATTTCCCAGAACAAAAGTGGTTCAAGTAGAGATCCCTGTGGTACACCAGTATTAACGTACACAATTCTTTGTGTTCTTTGTCTCAATTTTTGGTAACAATGTCACCATTCACAGTGCAGTGTGACGTTAGATCATTGAAGAACTCATTGGCTATACTGATCAGTGCAGTTTCAACAGATCCTCTGGGGTTATCTGAAGTGTAGTCTAGATTTTGTAACAATTTAGGAATATTAATCTTGTGCAAATGCTTATGACAAAATTGCTGAAACGAATGTTTCCAACTGTTTTTAATTTTGGTCTATCCATTACTATTGGTATCCAAGTAAGAATCGTGCTTTTGCAGCCAAAAACACACCAGACTGTAACATAATTAAAATGCCTCAAATTGTTTCATAATTTCAAGTTCTAATGGAGCTTCTGACTGATCTGCTGCACCAACATTTATCATTTATTCTAAAAAGTCCTGCAGCAAAATATGTTGACAAAAGCTCTGACAGTTGGAAGTATGCCACATTTAAATGCAAATCACACTATACTTAATGTGTAATCCATCTGTTCTTCATTATCTAATGAGTTACAAGCTTGAGGATCAACTGAGTGAAGCAGAGTGAACATCAAACAGTGAATCGTTCCTGAAGCCAAAGATTATCTGTCAGTACAAAATCCCAAAACTCCAAAAAATAATCTGATGTAGTCCCACTTTATCATTGCATGCACAGTAGAGGAAGGCTTGTGTTCACAATGCGAGAAACCAAATCGCCTGCCTGCCTTCCTCTGACTTTGAAATGGCTGAAGATGGAGCGTTTAAATAGCCGCTAGGTGGACTGCAGTCGAGAGTGAACGGCAGAGGAAAAAATGCCCACCTTTGCACATTGAGACACGTCATTGCTGAACTACAACATGTCGCATGCAGACCCCTGTCAGCTCGCCACCAGTAATAGCAACATTTCTAAAGAAATTATCATCCTTTGCTCCAATTATGTCAACCCCGAACAACATGTTACTTAACTCTCAAGTGGATCTCTGCAGAGAGTAGATGAGGTGGTAGGAAATGGAAAACTATCAGGCTGTCAGAATGGATTACACTGACAAAGCACCTGCCTCTTCTGTGGAGCTGGAAAACAGAACCTAAAGCCACAGTCAGCCGTTCCATCACGGATACTGATATTTGAGTGTGTCATGAACTGAGAGTAATTATTGGAAAGGACAAAGCTCAGTAAATTCAAGAGGACATTACTATGTATAGGCACAGCTCTCTCCTTTCAGCTTAAAATCTATTATCAGCATTTTAGTACGGAAAAATATTTTATGTAGAGCAATGTAGGGCGCAAATCAGCAAATTATCCGGAAGGAGTCTTGAATGTCTAAACCCTATTTCTACTAAAACAATGCATTAAAAAAGAGGAAGGAGAAGGGTGCTGCAGTGATTTCTGTGTGGAGTTTGCATGTTCTCCCTGTGTGTTTTCCTTTTTCCAACCAAGATGTATTTACAGTAGGTTTTACTGGTAATGATTTTTTTGGTAGCTCTCTGGGCTTATTCTGCAACATATCCCAGCTGCCATAGGATGAGAGGCGGGGTACACCCTGGAGAGCTCACCAGCCCATCGCAGCGCTAACACATAGACGCTAACACTTATGGGCAGTTTAGAACACTAACTGTGCATGAATGAGGATGAATGGCATTATTTGGTATGACCAGCTATATTCAGACTGTATTTTTCGGTGTTCATAAGTCCATCAATTTTGACGAGAGCCCCAAAATCACTGCCTGACATGTAGCTAAAAATGATGACAGAGTGTCCACTGTGTTTTACAGATGTTTGTAGACACCATCTGTTGTAACTCTCTGACAATTTGAATGAATAAATTTAAAACTCAGATTCACCAGTCCCTAAAAAAAATCAGCCTTTCCTCTGTATCCTTTCAGGCTTCTAAACCTTTTAAAGCCAAGCATATCATATTTGATACGATGGGTTTTTGTGAGTTTTTCAGACTTAAAAACTACAATGAATGGCACAATACATTTTTAAGGAGCACAAAATATTACTACTCCTGCAGATCTACTGGACAAATTTCTTCAGGTTCTCAAGGACACACGCGATCCTTAGATATGCCAAGTTTTTGGCCAATAGCTTTTTGGGATTGACCTTCTTGATGCAGAAATAATAATTTATGCCTTTCAGACCATTATTTTTGGCATTTTTCATAGATTGAATTAAAGAAGTGGTAACAAACTGTGTTTTACTGACAGGTCGGTAATAACACAGCGCTTGAAGATAAAATTTAAAGGTGGTTCTTTGCCAAGTTCTCCATCATTCAGAGACAAACTACTGATTCGTCCCCTGAGTTGGGTGGCTTTTTTTCAGCTTGAATGATTAATAGTTCAGTGGTAAGTTGCTTAACAAACCACATTTCTCTGGAAATTGTAAGGTACAAGGACTGGACTATAAATGTGTGTAAAAGCAGTCAATGACCAAAGACAGTTCTTCAGAAATCCTGGAGAGCTCAAGATCATTTAATAAAACACTGGCGACCACCAGTGCTACACCTCAGTCTCTGAGTAGATGCACAAAGTCTCAATTTGATAATCCTACATCACCTCATTCAAGTTATCCTTCCAACTGACGAAGCTGGTTGTCCATGCTGGCCAGCTGAGGGGTTATATATATATATAAAGAAACGATGAGTGGGATTGCATAAAGCAAGTAAAATTAGTCGGTCTCAAAATAATCTAAGAGCTGATTTTACTCAGTCTGATGGACTGATGGAGAATTGGCTGAACCACCAACCATAAAACAGAGCAATCTTAGAAAATGTAGCTTAGGGCATTATTATGTGCATCAGTGACTCAGCACTGCTGCTCAATGCTGGAAGCAAGGCACTGAAAAAGAGTCTTGTAAATCAGTTTCAGCTGAAACCAAATTGTGTAGTTTTTTTTTTTTTAAATTAAAAGGTGAGTTTTTGTTGTTAACCCTCTCAGGCTCAAATTAAACTTTTTGTTGCTAATGCACAACCAAGCCCTGCAGTGGTACTTCTGAGTAAAAAAACCTCAGGTTGTTAGTTTTTAACTGTTGCAAATCGGCAACGCCTGCCTTGAGAGGATTAAAACAAATAATGGACTCGTACGTGACATCATTCCACAAGGAGAATGAGCTGGTGTTCATCATTGCCACGTATTATTGCAGTTCCTCTGTAAGGAATTTTTTTGGGTACCAACTTTCCCTCAACTTGGCTTCACGATTTGAACTTTTCCCACATTTCCAGGCTGAGTTTTGACAGTGAATTCAGCAGAATGCAGCCATTTAATGTAAAAGTAAAGAGCAATATGAACTCAAATAAAGGCAATGTCTTTCCTGACAAGAAAATAGAAGCAGCATGCTCCTCACCCCACCGTGCCCCTGGTGGCTGCACAGGATTCGGGTTTATTGGGTGTGCTGTCAGTGAAGAAATTGCAGTCTCTAACTTTCTCCCTGTGTGATTGTTCAGTGTTAATGAAAAATGTGAGTCTAGATAAAAGTCCTCTCTCACAACTGGGGAACTCAAAAACATTTCCTGTTAGTGCTTTGGAATGTTTATGTGACAAAACATCAATTTTGTTGGAAAATTTTGCCCTTTTGAAACAACATGTGGTGACGGTGCTCACACCTTTTTCTTACTATCAAAATGTCTAAGACTGCTCTTTCGTTGATGGATGTCATCAAGCATCAAGGTTGTCATAATAAAGGAAAATAAAATACACACTCTTAGCTTGGCCATGACATTGGACAGAAACATGATGTGGAATGTAAAATCAATGTCACAGTGGTGGGTTAGACCGTTTTTGTGGCCATGCTACGAACACTTTTTTCCACAATAGCATTGCTCTGAAATTGATGCATCTTTTCTATAACTTCTGTAGGCCCCCTCGATTGCTTTTTTTCTGTAATTCATTTTGGAGGACAGGATTAGAAATTAGTATATGAGGGAGTCGGCTCAAGTCGAAGACATAGTTAGGCAAGGTTGAGGGTTTGGACACGTGCAGCAGAAGGCTAGTGGATATAATGGACAAACGATGCTGAATATGGAGCTGTGAGTCAGGAGGTTAAAAAGGAAGATGACTGAGTTCCTGGATGTAACGAAGGAGGACATGCAGATGGGGTGGTGTGACAAAAGAGGTTGCTAGGAAAGGTGAGACGGAGGCACCCCGAAAAAACGATGAAATCTATATGGGGATTTGTTAAATAAGTCTAGTATGCACTTTCAGCTCAGTTTTGTTGTCCACCACCTGTAAACAGAAATACCTGGACCTTTAGCAGCTTTAGTCAATGGTCTGTTTTGTAAAGTCTAAGCAGAACTGAGAGAGGCTAAAATGTCATGTAAACCACACGACAGAGTGCATTTGCTTTGTAGTGTAGTTCATCTGAGGCTGACATCATGCTTAAAGAACATTTCCTTTACAAACCATTTCATATGATGCTACTGAGTTAATTAATTTTTCCCCCAAAAAGAAAATCAAATGACATTGCATGCCATTAAGTTATGTGCTGCCCTACTTTTCCTTAAATCTCTATCTTGAGGCTTCCTATCATTATTCTGCGAACATGAAAGTGAAATCATGCCTTGTACTGCACTAAAAAATCTGAAACACAACACACAATTAGGCCTACTCAAAGAACAAAAACAGCCACTC